GATTTTTACCTTGGCCTAACCTTCATACCTGAACTTAGGTCCATATGATTTGTTCATTCAATTGTTGCGTTGCCTACGGAAGTGTCTGAGAGATGTATGGCTTCGTCTAACACTCCGTTGTTAGATCAGATTGACCGATTCCCGAGAAATTGCCTTCGCTGAAACCCTGGGCTGACTTTGACCTGCTGTCGGTTGGCGGCCTTACAAAGCACATCTAAATGTTTGATGTCAGACGATTCACAGTTCAATTGTCCACTGTTATGCAAAATTTGGTGCGGCTATGCCGCGCCGTTTGGACACCATTCCGGAAAAACCCTTGGGGGTTCAAATTAACCCTCCCCCACCACCCAAACGCGTGTTAATAGCCAGCAAACGCGCATAAATCTGAACGACATTTTTAACATGGCCTCAATCATCCGGGTCTCCCACGATTGAATGAGGAAGGTGGTTGCACTTGTTTTTAAAACCTATGCAACCAAAACAGTGTGTGCCAGGCACAGAAAACCTGATCAACATAGGGTCTACCAGACCGGGCGACTGGAATGGATGCACTGACGGCCATCTGGGAGAGCGAGGCCAATAACACTGCTTCCAGTCAAAGTAGCCCAAGCTACTACACCGGCTAGCAGTCTAAGTAAACCAGACCAACGGAGCGTCTTCCGGCCTAAGGAGCCAGATCAACATAGCGTCCAGCAATCAAATGGATCGGGACCAACACGGCGAATTGCAGTATGAGGGACCCAGACCAGGGTTGTTTACTAGCCTGAAGGACCCAGACCAACAACACAACATTTTCGCTGAAACCGTGACCTGACTTTGACCTATCATAGGTCAGCGACCCCACAAGGTACGTCTAATGTTTTGATGTCAGACAATCCGCCGTTCAGTTTTTTGCAGATCTGCAAAATTTGCGCTAAATTTTGTGTAGGTGTAGACAATTGAATAGCGGATCATTTGACATCAAAAATTTAAATGTAACTTGCAAGGTCGCTGACCTATGGCGGGTCAGACAGGTCATGGTTTCAGCGAAGTCAATTTCTAGGGAATCGTTCAACCTGATGCAACAACGGAGTGTTAGACGAAGTCATACATATCTGAGATGCTTTCTTCGGAAGTACAACAGTTGAATGAGCAAATTACCTTGGCCAAAGGTCAGGTATGAAGGTCAGACCAAGGTCAAAACTGACCTGTTTTATTGCTTTAGGGTTTGCTGTATTGGGTAGTTTCTGGTGCTCACTTCGAATTTATTGATGGCAGGAGCTGCATTATACATCTTCCATTGACATATCAGAGGTCAGAATAGGCCATTGACCTAAAATGACCCATGTCAGCGTTTTGTTTTTTTTCGGAACTTGCTGCCTAGTGGATTTTAGTCGCCTATTTAAATGCAAAACTCAGAGCAGCTTGTATGATTTGGTCACCATGACCTTCAAAAGGTCAAATAAGGTCATTGACCTTGAATGAGGATGTGGCCTTTTGCCTGGAAACGGTTATCTAGGTTCTGGGGGCACTTTGGAGGCCAACCTGGAATTTGAATTTTTTGACGCCATTTGACCCAAATTTCAATACCTAGGCACCTGAAACTGTGATCTAAGTGAGTTCTCGTGCAGGTCAACACACTCTGTAAATTTAGTGTCTCTAGCTCTCTTAGTTCCCGAGATCTTAGGGGGTCAAATTGACCCCCCAGCCGAGCGAAGGGTATCTAGTCGGCCACCAGGGTGTGTGTTTAGGAGATGGACCTTTTCCGTAAATCTAAATTGCTTTAATTGCATTTTGAAAATTTGTCAGACATTCTTCATTCCACACCCAACAGTAAGAGGAATTTTGAAACCCTGTATTGGTCACTCGCCACCAAATGGCGACATAATCTGTTACCCGGCTAGCCCTGGTGCCGGGCTGGCAAGCGGCTTTCCCGGAAACTGGCTAGCTGCAATCCAGTCTTGATGTGGATAATGCCTAAAACAGAGTCCCCTACGTTTTCAAGCGCTAAGAGAATTAATCGTCAGATGGAAGCGGTATTCTAGACATTTAGCTCAGCTTATTGACAACTGAACACACGCTGCCAATCTGAGGATTAGCACTGGTGCCCTATTTAACCAGCTCTTTAGTGATCAACTCGTTGTTAGCTCCCGTTTCCAGACAATGGTTTTAAGAACCAGTGCCTGCGCACTCAGTGAAAAGCGTTCAGCTGTCGATGGCTTCATTTGAACTCCAGAGCACACAGTGCACTTCCGTTGTGCGTAACTTGTAAACCATTCTCTGTTTTAATGGCTTACGAGCCACGCACAGCTGAATTCCACTTTACGCTCTGAGGTTTATATAGAATCGTCGGTAACTGTCGATGGATAGCAACGGTAAACCATTATTACGCAAAATGACCTGAGTAACTGAGGCGTTGTGAAATGTAAATCATCATTATCTGCTTCAAGACAAAAATATCTGCCTCCCAGTCCCTGCAACTCGTGCCCGTTGCTGAGTTTGTTGCTTTTCAATTTGTTTTCGGCGCTACCATTTTGCAGTTAGATACGCGACTGTGGGCTCTGAAAATACGTGCTTACGATATTTTTTAAGGCTCTCGCCTCAGGTCCAAGTTTTTATCTTTAAAGCAAGTACCTGAATATACCTTTATATAGTATCCTTGGATACACATCTTAACCGGTTTCCTTCACCTCAGCACGGTAAAATAAGTCGAGGAGTGCAGGAGTAGTTGTTTTCTGCACGATAGAACCTCCTCCATGAGCCAGACCCTCCTTACGTTGGTTGTTTTCTACCAATACAACCAGTTTCCAAGTGCATAATGTTTGTATATCCATGCATTTTTGGACAGCACGCATCTTGTCCCTTTTAATAGCTGAATTCAACAGCAATTAAAATAGCAAACACCCGATCAACCTAGTACTGCAACAGATAGGTGTCATCTCGTGCTCGCCATGGCCACCTCGTTTTATCTTAATGGCCATGTACTACGCTGGACAGCACAACTTTTAGAATCTTCGGGATCATTTCCAAGACAACATTGTTGAAGTCGATCTATCTCGCTTCTGCACCAAGATGAGGTAGCTATCGATCTGACCTTGCAATTGATTCTTTGATTTATCGTGTCGTTGTTGATGTCTCATTTTGCTTCTTGCCAATAGCCCCCTTTGTCGCTGTCATCTCCCTCCGTTCTAAATCGTCGATAATCGCTGGAGTACTTCGCGGCTCCCGTCAGGTCACGAAACGGAATGCTCGGAATCAAACATTTCTGGCAGTATGAGCAGCATCTCTTTGAACTTTGCTGCGGCATGGCTGCCACTTTGGTTATCGAAGGTCATTTCATGATCGACCTTTGGTGGCGTGTAAAATCTTTTTTAGAAGTCACCGGCATCATTCACAAATACATGCTCAGGACGGACCAACTGCAAAGAATACACGTAGCAGTACCTTCTTTGCGGCTTATTCCACTTAAATCGGGAAGCACTCATTCAAAGATTCGTCCTGCTCTTCCACTTAATTTTCATTTATTGCTCCACAATTAAAAACTTGCGCCAACACACCTGGTCTACATGGCCTTATGCGGGGCAGGTAATGTGTCTTGTGTCGGCGTTTAAGACCCTCCTTTTCACTTATTTGAATGTACTCTCTCTCTCCCCTCCCTCTCTCTCTCTCTCTCTCTCTCTCTCTCTCTCTCTCTCTCTCTCTCTATCTCTCTCTCTCTCTCTCTCTCTCTCTCTGCTCTCTCTCTCTCTCTCTCTCTCTCTCTCTCTCTCTCTCTCTCTCTCTCTCTCTCTCTCATCTCTTCTCTCTTCTCTCTCTCTCTCTCTCTCTCTCTCTCTCTCTCCTCTCTCTCTCTCTCTCTCTCTCTCTCTCTCCCCCTCACTCTCTCTCTCTCTCTCTCTCTCTCTCTCTCTCTCTCTCTCTCTCTCTCTCTCTCTCTCTCGCTCTCTC